AGTCTTCGGTGAAATGCTTCTTCAGTCATACTTTTCAGCCGTAACTCCTTTCCTACTAGATCTAATCGCGCGAAATTTTGATATGTGTAGCATGGCGGTATTGTGAATATTTATCACTATTAACCTGCAATCTGANAGGGGTTAATAAACATATCACCTATATGCCTGTCGTCTCCTTGATCGTCGATTTCCTCGAGCAGGTGCCAGTAACGTTTCCATCCGTCCCTGTCTCGAGAAAGAGTTGCCCAGTGAATCGCCCTCGCTCCAGGGACACGAGGCCCAGCATTCCTTTCATTCAGAGCTTTCGTATAGAAGTCTGACCATATCGTTGGCGGCGAGCCTGGTGCTCGCTTGACGCCCCGAGGGATCAAGTCCGTAACCACCTTATGTTCAACGGTCGTCACCGTAGCGCATAACGTGTTCGGCCCATCTGATCTTCGATGTCTTGGCGTAATCGGCGGCAACCCTGATCTGCGTTCGATAACGGAGCTCGAAACTCCGGATTCCCTTCTCCACTGGCGTGTATGGAGGAATTCCGAGCATCCTCCTTTCCGAATGACGCTGTCAGCATGTTCATCCTAGTTTCGTAGAGTACGAGCCTCTGAGGCGTACGTTATAGCAGGAAGGACAACAGTGTCGAACTCCCTCACTTTGTTCCTGCTCAGCCCCGGAGCTAGGTCGTTCATCATGTTCACTTCTCGACCTACAGTAGCGCTCAAAAGTCTTCGGTGAAATGCTTCTTCAGTCATACTTTTCAGCCGTAACTCCTTTCCTACTAGATCTAATCGCGCGAAATTTTGATATGTGTAGCATGGCGGTATTGTGAATATTTATCACTATTAACCTGCAATCTGATCATGTTCCAGGTATTCCAAAGAGCATGAACATAAAATCGACTGAAAATACAAATGATGGTCCTTCTGAAATCTCTTTCCTTTTTGTCATGTCAAAAGTGTACGAGCGATAATGCCGAACACAATAGATGAGAAAAACACTCATAAGGTGCGAATGAGTGCAGACGCCAACAACTTTTCTGTTAGCAAAATCTGCTACCGCAACAAACATCTTGCTCTAACTGTGGATATTGCAGCTTCGCAGTCAAATAGTGTTGGGTAGGGTGAAATATGCTCTAGTTAAACATATCCAAATTTCGAGCAAGTTGGTCCACTAAGAAAAAAATTATGAACAAAAAAGCGTCAAAGCATTTCACCGAAGACTTTTGAGCGCTACTGTAGATGCACGTAGATACACGTAGCTAGGGCATTCAGAAAGAATAGCATGAAAGCAGCATCAGGAACCACTCCGCCTCTCATAACAATCGTCTTCACTAGGTTCAGCTGTCAGCCGCAAGCACTGTCAAACTCCGCCAGCATTCGATCCGCCTGCTCAATGTTCGCTTTTATAAGCATGGTGTCGTCTGCAAAAAGGAGATGATGTAAGGAGCGCCCGTCGACCTTCACTCCCATTCCATATGAAGCATGACATTTTTGAGAGCGGCACCGAAAAATGTGGGCGACATGGTATCGCCCTGACGAACCCCTCCCTTCACGTTGATGATAACGTCTTTATAGAATGGCGAGATCCCAGTCGTGGAGTTGTTGTAGAGCTCACGAAAGATCCTCATGTATTGAGTAGGATTACTCTGGTTGCCCAGGGCTTCAATTACCGCTTCTGTCTCGACGATATTAAAGGCCTTCTTCAAATCGATGAACGTAAGACATGACGGCAATTTATAGTCTCGCGATACTTAGATGAGTCTTGTAAGAGTGTGAATATAATCAATTTTAATCCTCTCCGGAACCCTACTTGCTTGCATGACTGCCCATCATCTAATATTCTGCCAATCCCGTTTAGGATGACGCGTGTGAAAGGTTGTGGATTTTAGACAGCAGGCAGTTGTGCGACAATTGCCACTATCGTCGGGATCTCCCTTTTTGTACAGCAACATAGTCTTGCTAGTTTTCCACGACGTGGACTTTGCATTTCGACAGGTACCGCGTGAAGAGCCTAGTCAAAGGTGGAAAACTCTTTAGATGTTCCGTTTATCCTAACGGGATCAGGAGCCGCATAATTGTTCATCGACGTGATGGCAAGTCAAATTTTGAGAGGAAGAACCGATGGAGCGATATATATCCATCTTGCCTAAGAGGGTAAGTAGGAAGGTAGAAGTGGCTGTGGAAGGGAACCGAGTACAAGCCGTAGATGACCATCTCCATTGTCTTCAAGATGCAGTAAGTGTTCCATCAGGACGATCAAGGGAAGTTATCTTGGTCTTGTTTGGCGATACTCTGTCCGGCTTTGTGAATGCTCCTTCCATCCTCGGCGGCTTCGTACATAACTGCTGCTCTTTTTTCTTTCAGACTTTCCTTTATCGTTTCTCTGCATAGCTTCCCAGGTTCGGACGTTTGCTGATGATTGCCTGCAGCTCGCGCGATTCCACGCTGACGCGTGAGCTCAAGGGTCCTCGAGGAGCGTCGTCTCTCGGCTTCTAGACTCCTAGACTCTGCTTTGGGGATGTTCGACGAGCCGATTGTGCTCTTCATCGATGTTGTTGGTAACGGAATCTTCGGCTGAGTCTATTTAGTTCCACTTCTACTTACTTCGCACCTTCCTCGCCTCGCACATCCGCTCAATCGCCTGTGGGGTGACCTCGCTTAATTGGTTGGCTAGTGACCTCACTGCCAGATCTTCATACTCAGGAGTAACACTATCGATTACATGATTGAGAAACTTGTAAAGCATGAGAAATAAAATAAAACAGAACAAAAAATTAAACATGCGATACATAAACAATGCCACACAGAAAGCTGTAGAAGCTAAAGTAATCAGTGGAAAAATCAGGAGAAAGAGGAACTGAATTCATCGCTTTGTGCAAAGCATCCACACTCCCAAGACGCCTGCAGGCAAACTAGTTAACAGAGAGTGACCTTTCACACTTTTTTTGACACCTTGTAAGGCTTTCTCTGGAAACCGCCAGTAGGTCACTTGAGGGTATTTAAACATGCGGATGAAAACATCATAAACACACACAACAACATAATCATCACAACACCATAACAACAACATCACCTCTGTACTGTGGTTGTCATCGCATGAGCACGATTTCTCACTTCTACAACTCTGACTTCGACTACAACGCCTTTTCCGGCTTCAACTCAGGATTCATTGCTCCTGTTGCTCCTTCCTATTCCTACGAATCCCTGCACTTATTATGGCTAGCCCACCACAATACACTGTACCACCCCTATTTCATGCACCTTCACCCCTTCCACCATTTGCAACTTCCTTTTCTGTTCCCTCGAGTGCTGTAGCTCCGACTTCCCTTTATTTATCCTTCACCACCCGAAATCAACGTGAGCTCCGTGAACCAAAACCCTTCGTTTTCAGAAACTCTAGGGGCAGCTAAAGCTACCTCAAATCAGGAGCACACCTAAGTGCAAACATATGTTGGGGAAAGGCAGCTAAGCCAGGGAGGGAGCAACTGAGCAGGGAATGCAGCGACTCCGCAGGAAAATGTCTGGGTACGTCACCGATAAGGCTTCATAGTTTCATCATAACACGAAGATTTTGAAATTTTACATCGTATTGTTCCTGCTGCATGTTATTTTAAAGTGTGTAATAAAAACAAATAATACTTACAACAATATTAATAATAATAACAAAGTTTCCAATCAATAAGATCAGTATCAGTTCACTCAGACTGTCAGAGAGGTCAGCAGCCATTCAATTAAGCGAGGTCACCCCACAGGCTAGTGAGTGGATGTGCGAGGAAGGTGCGAAGTAGAAGTGGAATTAAATGCCGCCTCCCCAGGATTTTTCCATCCAATCGCAAGGGAAGCGGAGTGCTCTCGGTTGATGAATGTCTCAAAGCTTCGTTTCTCAAGCTTCATAGCTCTCTCTCCACGCTCTAAGAAGCAGAATCTAGCGTGAAAGGGACGATGCTCCGATCCCGTGATGAACTCTGGAACAACAGTGACGTCACTCACGCAAAATCTCCGATTGAAGATGATAAGGTCTTTTTCATTATAAAAGTGCCCATCAGGCGACTCCTATGTCCATCGCAAATGATAGGGCCTCTAAAACTGCGAGTTATCATTGATGGGTGGGTCAACATGATAAACTCAGACAGCCTTTCACTCTGCTCATTTCATTCCATTCCGTGTGTCCCGACATGGAGCGCTTCAGACGTTTTTCTAGGGCTAACCTTGGCGTTTAAAACACCAACAATGACCTTGAAGAAAGTATCGTCTTCTCTGCAGAGCTTCTCCAGATACATATAAAACGCTTTCAGTTCCTCTTCTTCGTAGCTTGATGCTAGTACGTAGGCAACAAAGATTGTTAGAGCTGGTGTTGAGCGACATCTTCTTATTCGCGAATGCAGCTTAATTCGGGTTGTTGAGCTCATGTACGAATCGATGTTCACGGCCAAGTTCGTGTTGACGAGGGCACCTACCTCGCCTCTGCTGTCGCATGTTCCAGAAACGGTTCTTCTTTAGTCTCAATAGTGGCATGGAACGGGCGGTGTCTTCTCGTCTCGGTCAGTCCGATGGAGTCGTACTTCTTAGCTTGCATCGTCAGATCCTTTAAACACACTTCCAATGCAGGCGTCCGTGCGTTGAAAGTACAGATCGCCATCTTACCCCATCTCCTTTTGGGCAGCCTGTTTTGGTTCTGAGATTTAAACTGCCTCTCCCGAGCGGTCCTCCCAATGCTGCCGTATTGGGGGCTCCCTCAAGCTCAGGGAAATGAGGTCTATTTGTGTCACTGTTTTGGCAAGTGGCTACCCAACGTAAAGGTTGCCAGGCTCTGACGTGGAGACTGGGTTGACTCCGGGGTTAGCCAGGCTAATCCAAAGTGGACGAGGAACAATGTTTTTGGAAGCGGCCCCGAATTGCCTCTCAGGTTCTTCCTAGCCACTCGAATGGAAGCTTTGGCTGTCGATGGGCAGGATACCAACTGCACCCACAGACTCTTCACGCGCATATGCGTGGATAGCCCGCAAGAAACAGAAGGTGTATGTGAGCCAGCACAGCAAACCAGGGAGTCCTCCCTTGATTCCACGTGCGTCTCTGAGCAAGTACTAACGACTTTTGATCGGCGATTTACTCCCCTATCTGCTACCTGGAGACGCTCTACGTAGCCTCCTCGCTGACCGGCTGGGATCCTTCAGCGGGAGAGAACCTTCAGGATGGAGATTCGTAGAATCTACAGTGTAATAGATATATCTATTGTCTATCTATAATGCACGTAATAGATAGAAAACTCCTTGGATAATCTAGTGCAGCGGTGTGTGTTTACGAGACACCGTTGCTTTTGGTAAAAAATGAATCGTAAACGAGGAATTTTTGACCTATGATTGCTAGAACGAATCTGTGCAGGTTCAACGATTTCTTGAAAGCTTCCCTCTGCGCGTACAGCGCTGACTCCATTTTTTAATTGCATTCGTGGCTACTAGGTTTGGCCTATCTTCTCTATTTGTACTCGGGAGGAAACAATTTTGTTGATATTAGGCTTCGGCGTTATAGCGAACGCATGCCAGTTCTCATGCCAGTTGTGGCTGAGCTTCGCACAGTCAAAATAGTAGAAATAATAGAGTCGGAGAAGTCTACGAAAATCTTGAAACGAAAGCGGTAGTTGAAAATGTAGAAGGTATGTTTGATTAGGTTGAGAAAAATTACGTTTCTATAGCAAGGCTTCGTTGAAAATCTATCACTAAAAGCCAAGCGAATGCGCATAAACTAACTAAAAAACCTAGCCAGCCCAAAAACGTATCAAGACTGGCGCGCTCTTTAGTGGACTAGCACTCAATAAACATATGAGATCTGCGAATACTGAAGCCGTTTCTTTCTAGCCAAACTGAGTGAGGGTAATTTTGAGCGATTACGAAGGCGAAGACGAAGAACAAGATAATGGCGATGATCAATAGCAGAAGTGAACCACCTAGCACTCACAGAGAAAACAGAGGAAATGTGTTTTGGAAAAAGATTATAAATATGCCTTGCCAGAGATCTGCGAATACTGAAGCCGTTTCTTTATAGCCAAACTGAGTGAGGGTAATTTTGAGCGATTACGAAGGCGAAGACGAAGAACAAAATAATGGCGATGATCAATAGCAGAAGTGAACCACCTAGCACTCACAGAGAAAACAGAGGAAATGTGTTTTGGAAAAAGATTATAAATATGCCTTGCCAGAACGCATAAAAGTTGTAAGTGAAGTTGCTTACGGCGAGTATCGATCCAGGACCTTCATGCAAAGAAATATGAGGCGAACCTTTCTTGCTAAAACCGATGCGTTCAGCTAAGGGGTTACGATGTTTATACTGTACCTCCCAAGCATGTTTCCTATATACCCGCTGGATTGCTTAGTTTCGCTATTCATCATCACAATTATCTTCTCGCTTCGTAATCGCTCAATATCGCCCTCACTTTGTTTGGCCATAGAAGGGCGGCTTCAATACGAACAGGTTTCCCTTGTTTATTGAGTAATAGTTCACTGGAGAGCAAACCCTAGTTTCATTACGGATTAGTGGCTAGATAGGGTTCTTACTTAGGTTTATTCATTCAATGAAGATTTATTAATTTATTCATTGAATGCGCATGAAGTGCGCCCTAAAATGTCAAGGT